ATCCAACTTTCCAGAGCCTATTTACCAAAAATTCTGCGTTAAGTCCTTCTACTTCAATTCTTACACCAGCTATATTTTGAAAGGCTTCACACCTATTTTCCTGCAAAAGTTTCCACATTGTTGAGTAACAGAGGTCCAATTCCTGCGAACGCCGACAATTGATGGTCATCATTAACATTAACATTGGCCGATACAGCTTTTAAGGTCTATCCTAAATATTGGGAAATATATCTCAAATTATAGGGGTCCCTTTGTAAATCGTCCGAACTATATAGTTCCTTAAAAACATTTGGTCTATTAACCCTAAACTTCTTCTTCTTATAAGAACATTTGCAGCGAATTGGGAAAAAGTACTAAATTTTTCAGGAATGAACAATGATTTTTTATTACCATTTTGTATGGTACATGTTAAGTATACGCATTTATTTGGTTCGAAGACTCTCAATGAAATTTGATCTAGTATAATTTTCCTATGGCTTTGGATACGTGTTAACAGCAAACAAGTAAAAAAGCAGCATGTTCGGCCAGCTGAACTTTGAATGCTCTCCACCATTTGGAAGAAATTCGGGAATTTTCAAAAACAAAAAAAGGAAAATATTTTGAATAAAATTATTAAAATAATAAACATATCAAATATTGGGAGTTACCGTTATTTATTGGGGTCTATACGAAGACGGGGACCTGTATAGGCAAATTTTGTCGTAGGCCATTATAATATTCATATTATAAACTGGAAAAACTTCAGGCGAATAATGTCGCTAAGATAATTAAAATACCGAATATCAGAAGGTACCGTTTTATGGGGACTATACGAAGACGGGGACCTGCATACGTCAACCTGCAATTATCACCCTAGTCTGTTGTACCCGCTACGAACTGGAAATCCGAAATTTGAAACAATTCCGGTGTATAATTTTCTCAAAAACATCAAAATAACCAATATTTCCATCAGTGCTACGTCAGGTACGTAAATGGACAATATCGGTCCATGAATAATAATAACTCCTATAAAATGTGTGTAAAAGTGTGCGATTGTCTACAAATTATACACATCAATTTTTTTTTTTAAACCCAATGTCTGGTGTGAATGTGGAATATATTGCTCCACACCTTTCGGTACCTCCTCCACAAAAGTATCAAAATTTTCAATAACCGCGAAGCTCATAAATCGCGAAATTAACATCCAATGCCAAGTCTGGCCCATCTCAGTATTTTTGTCGGCACAAGATCTATTAAAAGATGATAGGGATCGAACAATTCCTTCTGGTACCTCACCCACAAAGGGTCAAAGTTTTCAATAACAAAATTGATTACAAAATCTGAAATAAGCATCAGGTTCTCTTCATATTAAACACATCCCATTATTTCTATTAACACAAGATCTACTATGAAGATGGGATGTATCGGTCCACTCCTTCTGGTAATCCTATACAAAGGGTCAAAATATTGAATAATTATAACTCTTATAAAATTACACACGACACAATATTTTTATTAACTCAAGGTCTGGTGTGAAGATGGAATATATCTGTCCACTCCTTCTGGTACCTCCCCCACCAAGATTCAAAATTTTGAATGTCCATCAAGCTCATAAAACGCGAAATTAACATCCGATTCCATTCAGAATTGGTGCGCCTCAATATTTTCATCAACATAAAAACTGTTATAAAAATTGTAGATATCGGATAATTTCTTCTGGTAACTCCCCCACACAGGGTTCAAGATTTTGAAGAAGAAAAAGGTCGAAGATAAGCATTCAAGTCTCTTCAAATTTCACACATTCAAACATTTTTGCTAACACAAGATTTTTTGTGAAGATGATATATATCTGCAAACCGCTTCTGGTTTCTCACCCACAAAGGGTCACAATTTTCAATAGTTTTGTTTGATATAACTTGCGAAACCAGTCAGCGATTCTTTAATACTTGCTATATCTAAATATTTCTCTCAACCAGAAACCTGAGATGGCATTTATGATTTTGCATAAAACTTGATATAACTATTTGATTTTTTTGTAATTTAGCACATACCAATATTTTTATCGTATTAGATGAAGTATGAAAATGGAATACTGTCGATTATATCTGGTACATCACGCAAATTTTAACATTTTCTAAAAATTATCACATATCTCATATACAGTAAGGTAAGTAGTCCAAAACAGCCACGTTGCAATATTTTTATGATCTATATATTTTGGTCCCATACAAAATGAACAATATTGGACCATTCTTTCGGAACCTACACCATAGAGGTTCAACAATTTGAGTAATCATAACAGAAATCAAAATATATTTATATTGGCTAAGGGTATACTGATACTTTTTAACTTGTTTTTATTTATTTATTATTATTATTATTTTATTTTTTCTTGTTCTAAAAAAAATTTCTATTTGTAGTTCATTACGGGTTGTAGCTCCGGTGGCAAAACTTTGCATGTATAGGTCCACGTTTTGGTATAGCCCCTATATAACGGTACCTCCCGATATTCGGTATTTTTATGATTTTTACCACATTTTTTCACGGATTTGTCTGAAAATTGGCATTTGTAGCTCATAATGGGTCTTAGTTCGTGCACCAAAACATTGTATGTATAGGTCAACGCTTTGGTATAACCTCCATATAACGGTATCTTCAGATATTCGGTATTTTGATGGTTTTTGTCGACCCGGCCGAAATTAATGTTTTTTACTTGTTTAGCTCTACTTTCATAATATATTGGATTTTTTCCATAATTATTGGAAAAATTTAATTTTGTCGAACAGTGCTAATATTTAATGCAGTATTAAGTTCCTACAGCTTCGATGTGATTGCTGGCAATATATTGTATATCTTAAATTGGGGTAAATCGATTCAGTTCTTTTATGTAGTCAGCATATGGCGGTTGTTGAGGTGCCTTAACTATTTTTATTAGATCCTTTGAAAACTGTCAAGGTCATATATGAGCAAACGACCACAATACTCATTGGTTTAAAATATTTCAACATTTGGTTTGATATGCCTCTTTTAGAAAAATGCTACCATTATTTGCCTTTAAAACCCCTTATTGTTTAGTCCCTATAATTTCTTCCCACCACATACAACCGGCCTCCTTCTAATACCCCCCCATTCAAATACGATTTAAATTCGAATATAAAAATTGAGAGAAATAAAAAGAAAACAAATCCCATCAACATATTTGTCTGAATCGGTTGATAATTCTTTGTAATGCTTATAAATCAAGGAAAAGTCACTGCCTAGTCGGCGAGCGGCGACTATGTTAAACGTTGACTATTCGTTGTCAGTTTGCTGATAGTGTCACAGTTCCAAGTTGTATCGCTGGCGGCTTGATGTAGCACTATTGCCATTCTTCCGATTTTGTTGTCGTTGATGTTGTTTTTGGGCCAATTTGTGACTTTGTGCTGCGAAAAGCAATTTTCTTTTTAATATGCCTCCAAAAAATAAGCTTAAAGTCTTTTAGTTGTTTGTATCTTTGGTTCATAAACTCAGCCTAGAGCAGGATTTATATCTCGTTGTTGTTGTTGTTGCCTTTGTCGCTTTGTTAAGCTCTTAAGTTCATTGTTAAAATACGGCTTTGGTCTTTGAGCAACAATTCTTCGAAATCTTTTGTCCTTGATTGTGTTTTGAATTTCTGTGCATTTTTTCGTAAAAATTTATTTTTCTTTCATTATTTTTATTCAATAAAGCCGAAAAAGTATGTTTGTTTGTTTGTGCATTTGGAGTTACTCACTTAGTACCAACCGATTATAATAATAATTTAAAAACGTATATGCATTGTGTATGGGGGTATAATTCGCTTTTCAATGGAACCTATGATGTGTGTGCCTGTGTGTGTGAGTGTGTGTATTAATCATCATTTGCGCCTTTGAATTGAAGCGAGCCGGGCCAAAGAAACAATAATGTCACCACAATGTTAAATCTCAGTTTCGTTTGGCAGGGGGCAAATACCCAAACAATTTTCTTTGAAAAAAAATACTTTACTCTTTAATGGCTTTACACAAAAGGGTGTGACTTTGAAATTGTTTCTGCAAGAGACGTGTGTGTACGTACACGCAAAAAAATATAAGCCTCTCTAACATATGTCCCAAACATATTTTGCAGCAAACAAATATATGTTTGCAAACATTCCCAAACATAACATATGTTTGGGTGCTGCAAACAAATTATGTTTGGGTCCAAACATAATTAATGTTTGGGTCCAAACATAATTAATGTTTGGGTCCAAACATAATTAATGTTTGGGTCCAAACATAATTAATGTTTGGGTCCAAACATAATTAATGTTTGGGTCCAAACATAATTAATGTTTGGGTCCAAACATATTTTTTGTTCGGGTGCAAACATAATTTATGTTTGGACCCAAACATAATATATATTGGGGTGCAAACATAAATTTATGATTGGGTCCATTTGTATACTTACTGCAGATATAATTCAACCATAATGCAAACTAGTTTTAAAATCAATTTTTGATATTCACATTTTATTTAACATAAAAGAAATTCATACATATTATAATATATAATATAAAATTAATTGTAATAATTAATATAATATTAATATCAGTAATAAAAAATTGTTAAAAATAATAATATTAAAATAAAAATTCTAATTATAAAAATATTAAAGAAAATAAATAATTTATAATGAAACATAGTTTTTTATTTTCTTTAATATTTTTATAATTAGAATTTTTATTTTAATATTATTATTTTTAACAATTTTTTATTACTGATATTAATATTATATTAATTATTACAATTTTTATTATGCTTAAAATTATTCTTATGTTTCTAATATTAATTTATTATGTTTTAATTTTTATAAATAATATATTGTTGTTATTGATAAAATAAAATAAACATTTGTTAATAAGTTTATAATTTATATCGTGCCAGTTTTCATAAAATTTTTATTTTATATTAATTTTTTAATTTATTATTATTAATATTATTCTTAATACTTGTTATTATTTTTATTTATTAATTTATTATTTTTCCTTTTATTACAATCACTATTTTTTCAATAAAGTAAAATACTTACAATCTGTTAGGGTCTTCTTTTAGACATTCGTCAATAAGGGCCTTCGAAATATTCACCCTAACTTTATTTTGCAGGCGTTTTTCGGCAATAAAAATTCTCCATATTTTGTTGACAGCCGGAATTGACTTGATGGACTCTATGTCAGTCTTTAAAGTTGAAATAACATTTGTTTTTGGGGTAAGATCCCCAAAACCACCTACGGATTCACACTCCGATAGAGTGCCACTAACTGTCGATGCTGATGCCACTGATCGAACGGAGTCTAAATGAAAATTAAATATATTATTTAAAAAAAGAAATATATTATTTAAAAAAAGAAAAAAATATTAACAGCCTGTTTCTTTATTTTGAAACGAAATTTTTTTCGTTCCGACATAAAGAAACAGGCTGTAAATCCAGTGTACTTACCTCCAAATTGCAACTCAATATGAAAAGTAGGTGTTGACATATATTGATGAATTACTTTTTCAAACTGGTCTTCTTTAATGGTTGCACCAAACACTAAGGCTGTTATTTTTCTTGAGGCATCAATTTTTAACTCTAATTTGGCTGCTTTTATAAAGCTTTGTAGATTTAAAGGCTCCGGCGCTTCGACAAATAATTTGTCTTCCCCCAAAACAGTTGGTATCAACATTTATTACAACACTTGTGACACGACGCGAAGGCACAAAACAAATAAAAAGAATAAAAAAAGAACACAACCAGAATGCCAACATGAGACACGCGCAAATGTTACGCTCTTTTGTTCTCATCAAGCAAATCGGTGTGTATGCGAAAAACGCATGTATGTATGTATGCATGAACATTAGTAAGAAGCAACGTCTCAGCAACAAAAAAACATCCAAACAGCTCTTTGTGTGTTGTTGTTGGCATTTTTTGGTGCATGGACAATAGAAAAGAAATAAACGTCTCAGCAACAGTTTCCATCCCTCTTGCCGCGCACACACCACACATAGTTACAGCAGCGATCGGCAGTGTTTGCTTGGTGAGAGCAAAAGAGCGTAACATTGGCGCGTGTCTCAAGTTGAGACACTCAAGTTGTCCATGCACCAAAAAATGCCTACTTGAGAAAGAAAACGTTACAACAACACACAAAAAAATTGACTCCTCTGTATATATGTCGGTGTTAATGCGAAAAACGCATGTATGTATGTATGCATGAACATTAGTAAGAAGTAACGTCTCAGCAACAACTAGAAAATTCACACCGCACAACAGCAACGAAAAAACATGCAAAAAGTTTTTTCGTTGTTGTTGTTGTGCGGTGTGTATTTTCTAGTTGTTGCTGAGACGTTACTTCTTACTAATGTTCATGCATACATACAACTTCTATTTACAGTTATATTTGGAAGAGAGCAAAAAATGTTTCGGTTCTGCTTTGTTGTGCGGCCAACCAAGCCAACACATCATCAACGCAAAAACAGACTTCTCACCCTCCTGTCTTCTTTTAAGTCACCTATAACACCAATTCAAAAGTAATCGAGAGCTCTGTTGTTTAGCTCTTTGAAAAAAATCCTCTCCGCACCCATAAAAAATATGTTCTAACATATAAAATATGTTGGTACCCAACAAATAAAATTGAGTTATGTTACAAAATGTTGCAAACAAATATTTGTTTGCACCGAAACAAATTATGTTTGCATCCAAAAATATATTTGTTTGCAACCAGTCCCAAACAAATATATGTTTGGATCCAAACATATTTCTAACATATATTTTTCTGCGTGTATGTGTGTTTTTATATTAGGGTATCGTGGAAGAAAAATATCGACCAGATTGTCCTCTGAAATATACCCTAAGCATGTGGTTCGATCATAGTTTACTTGTATTGCGATGTGGACACCGCTCGGTTTTTAATTACATATAAAGGTTGGCGGTTGCTCAAGAAGGGACTCGACTGGACAGGGTGGACTTTTCCTCACCTTAGGTGTAATATGGGCATAAATAATGCGATTAGAAGATCAGGTACGATTTTACATTATATTAGAGTTAATATTATTCAAAAATTTGAATTTTTGTTGAGAGAGGTATGAAAGGGACGGGACCGATGTTGTGTACATTCGCACCTAATTTAAGTGTGATGCAACTATTACTAGGTCGATTATTATTGCTTCATACTAATATCAGAGTGAGATAAAAAAAACTGCAACAAAGTCAACAAGTAAAAAAACATTAAGTTCGGCCGGGCCAAACTTTTAATACCCTCCACCCTAGGGTAAAAGAACATTAGAAGAAATGTGGCAAAAAACATTAAAATGCCGAATATCGGGAGGTACCGTTATATAGGGGCTACACAAACAACACGAACTAGGACCCATTATGACCCACAAATACCAACTTTTACGCAAATCAGTGAAAAAATGTGGCATCAAAATACCGAATATCGGGAGGTACCGTTATATGGGGACTATACCAGAACGTGGACCTATACATGCAATGTTTTGCCACACGCTCAGGGACCCGTTGTGACCTACAAATACTAATTTTCAGACAAATCCGTGAAAAAATGTGGCATAAATCATCAAAATACCGAATATCGGTAGGTACCGTTATATGGGGGCTATACCAAAACGTGGACCTATACATGCAATGTTTTGCCACACGCTCAGGGACCCGTCATGACCTACAAATACCAATTTTCAGATAAATCCGTGAAAAAATGTGGCATAAATCATCAAAATACCGAATATCGGGAGGTACCGTTATATGGGGACTATACCAGAACGTGGACCGATATATCTCATTTTCAATACCAACCATCCTAGGGACAATACACACACTTGTGCCAAATTTCAAAGGTCTACGTCAAATAATGTGGGCTCTATCGTGATTTCAACAGACAGACAGACGGACAGACAGACAGACGGACATCGCTAAATCGTCTTAGAATTTTATGCTGATTATGAATATATATACTTTATGGGGTCTACGACGAATATTTAGAGGTGTTGCAAACGGAATGACAAAGTTAATATACCCTCCTACCCATGGTGGAGGGTATAAAAATGTCGGAAATGGCATCACATTTTAAAATAAGTATTGATTTGTTCGAACGGTCAATGAAACCGTCACACAGTGCCCGAATGATGCTCTGAGGTATTTTGACCCATTCCCGGCGAAGCGCTTGCTTGAGGCGATCGACGCTTTGGTATTTTTTAGTGCCGACCTTACTTTCCAAAATACTCCAAACACAATAGTCCAACGGATTGGTATACGGAAATTTTGGTGGCCATTGTGCGCTGGAAATGAAGCGAGGAACCTCATTTAATAACCATTCATGGGTGGTGCGTGCTGAATGCTACGGTGCTGAGTCCTGATGGAATGTCCAAGGTCTGCGGCCAAAATGTTTGCGTGCCCAAGGCTTTAATACACCCCCTAGAATATTTTCGCGATAATATTCGGCATTTACTATGACGCCACGGTCGATTAATACGAGCTGAGAGCGATCATCGGATGTTATGGCGGCCCACATCATCTCTATGGCCGGCGCTTAAGTTCTGGTGGACCACCGAAGGTGCACATTTTCAGCTGACCTCTTTGGCAAATAAACACGATCATTTTGTTTATTTACAAACTGCTGGCAGTTCACCACTTTCGGCCAAGCGAAACTGTTTTCTTCCGTCCACTACCTTGACATCGGGCTACGCTACCAGTATCTCGGTAACGAGCGATGGTACGAGACACAAAAGATGTATTCACATTTAAATGCTGGAGTGCTCTAACGATAGCCACTTTTGGTTTTCCAGCCAAATATAAAGAATTCACACTATCACGCATGCATTCCATCACGAATAATTTTTTTCTGGAAAATTCTCACCAAAATCATTTTGTACGCTTGGAAACAATACACTCCTTCTGGTACCTCCCCCACAAGGGATCAAAATTTTGAGTATCCACGAAGCTCATAAAACGCAAAATAACATCCGATTCTATTCAGACTTGGAGCTTTTCAATATTTTCATCAACACAAGATCTGCAACTTATAATTGTCATAACTTGCGAAAGAAGTCGGTGACTCTTAACAACTTGCTATATCTAAATATTTCTCTTAACCAGTATTCTGATATGAATATGTAATTTGTCGGAATTTATGATTTCGAATAAAATTGGATACGAATGTTCAATTTCCTTCAAATTTTGCACATACCAATATATTTTATCTGTATTAGATGAAGTATGAAAATGGAATACTTCGGTCCGCTATATCTGTTACCTGACGCATATTTCCGAAAATGTGCACCTATCTCATATAAAGTACAAGAAGTAGCCGATATAGTCCAAATCTGTCACGTTCATAACTCAAGGCTAGGGGGATACATCTGTCGGCAAAACCGACTGATACTATTTTACTTGTTTTTTATAATTTTAGCAACATTTTTTTAAACTGCAAATTTCTTCCAACTGAACTTACTACTTTTCACTCATTTTTTATGCCAGACAGCTATTATTATGTCTTATTGCATTTGTTTGTAACAGGATAAAGGAAACGAGATAGAAATATAGTTCCTTTTGATGATCTTCATAGAATCGCATTTTCAGTCGATTTATAATAGTATAAGTCAACATTTAATACATTTCAGTGCATACGACTGATTTTGGCCAATAAGTAAGAAAGATAAATTTGGTGAAAATCGGTTTAGATATAGCTATAGCTCCCATATAAATGTTTCATCCGATTTGATGTTTAATTCCGCCACATTCATGATTTGCACTCCATTGGTACCAGATGTCTGATACAGCTCAGAAATACCTCTACCAAATTTTATCGAGATTGGTTCAGATTTGGATATAGCTGTCATATGTATGTTTAATCCGATTTTATATAAATCCGTATTATACACTTCATAACAAGGATTTCCGATACAAAATATTAGGCACCTCGGAAAAAACACCTTTTCCAAGTTTTGTCGGGATTGGTTGTATTCGTATATAACTCCCATATATTTTATCTTCTAAGTTGATGTAAATACAGGGTGAGATGAAAAAACTGCAACCAAATTTAGAATACTGTCAGTTTCTAACCCACTCGTCAGACAGCTGTCAAAATTATTCCAGTGACAGCTCATTATATTGTTTACAAGCGTACAAAAGCATTTTGGTGAGAATTTTCCAGAAAAAAAGTAATTCGTGATGGAATTCAAGCGCGATAGTGTGATTTCTTTATATTTGGTTAGAGCACTCCAGCACTTAAATGTGAATAAATCTTTTGTGTCTCGTACGATCGCTCGTTACCGTGATACTGGTAGCGTAGCCCGACGTCAAAGAAGTGGACGCAAGAAAACAGCATCATCAGCAGAAATAGTTCGAAAAGTAAAGAAGCGACTTGATCGAAACAACCGCAACATTCCATTCGGCAAATATTTAAAAACGAGCTCGGGGTAAAGCCGTCGAAATTCCAAAAAGTGCAAGAACAGAAAAAAATAGACTTCGCTTGGCCGAAAGTGGTGAACTGCTGAATTTGGTTTTCTCCGATGAGAAAACATTCGTTGTCCAGCAGTTTGTAAACAAACAAAATGATCGTGTTTACTTGCCAAAGAGGTCAGCTGAAAATGTACACCTTCGGTTGGCCACCAGAACTCAAGCGCCGGCCATGATGATGGTGTGGGCCTCCATAACAGCCGATTGTCGCTCTCCGCTCGTATCAATCGACCGTGGCATCAGAAATGCCGAATATTATAGCGGAACTATTCTGGAGGGTGTATTAAAGCCTTGGGCACGCAAACATTTCGGCCGCAGATCTTGGACATTCCAACAGGACTCAGCACCATCGCAGTCAACACGCGCCACCTAAGAATGGTTACAAAATGAGGTTCCTCGCTTCACTTTCAGCACATAATGGCCACCAAAATCTCCGGATACCAGTCTGTTGGACTATTGTGTCTGGTGTTTTTTTTTTTTTTTTTTTTTTTTTTTTTTTTTTTGGAAAGCAAGGTTGGCTTAAAAATACCAAAGTGTCAATAACATCAAGCAAACACTTCACCGGGAATGG